ACATATAAGTGATTAAAAAGTGATGTTTGTTTAGTGCATCTGCAACACGTTTTTGGCTCTCAGCTTTGTGTTTAAGTAAGAAATTGAATGATGCGGAAAATTCTACCCAAGTTGCGTGTCGGTCTTTCAACTTACTCTGACTATTCAAAATTTTCAAAGCTTCATGATTTGTAAACAAGATGAACTCACCTGTAAGTAGTGGCTCCAATGTTCGAGGGCTCTCACAATTACATAGAATTCTTTGTTGTGGGTAGAGTATTTCCTCATAGACTCATTGAATTTCTCAATAAAAAAACAATAAGATGACCGCCCTGGCTCAGTACGGCCCCTATTCTGATGCCTGCATGCATCACATTCTACTTCGAACAGTGGTGTGAAATCTGGCAATGCTAGAACTGGTGCTTGAGTTACTTTTTCTTTGAGTTTGTCGAAGTTAGTTTGAGTGGTGCTTGGCCAAATGAACTCTCTGCTTTTTTAAAGCTCGATGAGGGGGGCGCTAACAGTGCTGAAATTTTTAATGAATCGACAGTAGAATAATGCTAGACCCAAAATTGTCATAGTTTGGTGAACGATCGCAGTGCGGTCCAACTTATAATGGCTTCGACTTTTGTTGGATCCACTTGAATGCCTGCGCAGGATATGATATAACCTAAAAAATATACTTAATTTGTCATGAAAGTGCATTTCTTTGGATGGGCACATAATTTTCCGATCCAAAGCACTTTGAATATTTTTGTACATGTTCCTCTTAAGAATGACTATATACCAGTATGTCGTAAAAGTAAACTACAGCGAATTCCCCGATATTAATCTCATGAAGGTGTTGGGTGTATTTGACAGACTGAAGGTCATGACTGTCCACTCGTATAGTCAGTTTTATGTTTTGAAGGTGGTCTTCCATTCGTCGCCTGGTCTCATTTGTACGTAGGGGTATCCACTGTGTAAGTCGATCTTTGAGAACATAGTGGCTCTGTGTCGAGTTATTGGGAATCGGTACTTGATAATTATTTTGTTCATGTCACTGCTATCGATGCGCATCCTTCATGAGTCATCTTTTTATGGGTAACATTAGAACGGGCACAGCGCACAAACTTGTACTTTCTCTAACTAACCCTCTGGAGACAAGATTTTATACTTATCATTATAGTTCCTCGTATTTTGTTGGTCTTTTAGCCTGTATGCAGGTCGATTTGGTAGGACTGATTCTGGTATAAGCTTTATAGGATGTTGGATGTCCTTCAGAGTGGTAGTCCCTCTGGCAGACTATTTGTTATGACATTTTGGAAGTCTTGTAATAGAGATTGTAGGCGTGTTAGTATTAAGTTTTCTTCCTTGGACCCCTCGAGTAGGACTAGGATAATGTTATTGGTGCTTCTCGAACTTACTGCATGAATATTGCTATTGGAACGATTATTTCTTCGGCGTTGTTTACTCCTTTCGCATCTTTACTTGGTAGTAATACAATGTGATTGTCATCTTTCTTGAATGAGTATGTGTTTTTAAACCCGTCATGTTGAGCTTCACGGTCGTATTGCCAAGGTCGTCCCAATAGAATATAGTATGCATCCATGAGAATGTCGTCACACCATACTTGTTCCTCTTTAATTGTTTGCTTATTGATAACTGAACAAAGCATTGTTGATCTGTGTGGATTTCATTCCTTTTTTTCAGCCAAGTGAGGGAATAGGATTGGGGATGTTTTTGTGTGAGCAATTCTAAATTTGTCATCATAAGTGTCGATACGACATTTTCACAACTGTCACTGTCGATTATCAAGTTGCAACCTTTCTCTTTTACTAAACATTTCGTACAAAAGATGTTGTGTCAGCCATGACTGGTCATGCGTTGGTTCTAACTGTAAGACTCGTTGTATGACTAGTAATTTGTCTTCGTCATTAGAGAGCTGAAGTGCTTCGTCAGTATTGTCGTCTGCCTCCTCATCCTCACTTTCCTCCATGACACCATAGTCGGTAAAAGAGACAATTCGGCTTGTGGGACAGTTGGAGGTGATGTGGTCGAAACTGTGGCATCTAAAACACTTTATGGCTGGCATGGGCCCGGATGAGCATCCCCTCTCGAGTTTCCTATTGCTACGGTCGGTTTTCGTATTTCTGGACACTGGTTTCCTCGTTCATGACGTGCTTTTCTCAGTAGTTGTCGTTGTTGGGGTTGGTTTGTATGAGGTTTGCTGTCGGAAGAAAGACTGTGGTCTGGCCTGCTTTTGTTGCCTTCAACTTTCAAAGCTAAGGTTTGGACATCCCTCAGCGACCAATAGTGTTGTGATTGAACTACATTGCTAATAGCGGGCTTCAGGCCTCCGAAGTAGTGGGCGATGGCATGCTTCTCTTGTTCAACCAAGTGGCATTTTACTTGTAACTGATGCAATTTGGTTGTGAATTCCTCTACAGACATCTCTCTCTGTCGAAAGTTGTGGAGCTTTAGAAACATATCTTGGCGGTAGTGTGGGGGCAAGTATTTCCATAGTAGGATTTTCTTCATTTTGTCCCACTTAATGATTTTTTCGTTGTCGTCCATTGTTCGCAGTCGCTTTAGTTTGTCCCACATAACAAGGCGTATTTTTCAGTTTAATAGCTGCTAGTTTGACCCTCTTATCATCAAGTATTTCCTTATATTCGAAAATTAGTTCGACTACTCGCAGCCAGTCAAGGAATTTATCTGGATCCATACTTCTATCAAACTCGGGGAGATCTACTGTAATGTCGAAGTCGTGCTGGTCTGCGGGTTCTTCTCGTGATCGCCTTTGGTATTGGATGTCAAAACGGCGTAGATGGTATTCTTCGTCGTTCTCATCTTCCCTGTGAAACAAATTTAGATAATCGTCCCTGACTTCTTGTCGACTCTCTAGGTCACGATTGAGAGTGATATCACCCTGGGTCCCTTCATCGAGTTCTCTCAATTGTTGTTGCCGACGGTGGATTTCACGTTGTATTGCATCCCTGGTGGGGTTTGGTATATTTCTCTTAGGGGGCATAGTTGATAGTTTGGATTAGAATGAGACAGAGGTTCGGGGAAGGGAAAGTAAAAAGGATTGACGAATAGAAAGACGATAGCGGAAAAAGGAAAGAAGAGAAGGAAAAGAAAAGAAGGGGAAAAAATTTATTGTTTCGGTAGGGGTGCGAATGCTAAGAAACCCTAGGATATAATTAGGTTTGGGCTAGCTCTGATACCAAATGATACCGGAGTTAATCCAAACCACGACGTAAGACACAAATTTATTAATAATTTAAAAGAGCGATTACAATGATGACTCAAAAAAAAGGAAGAAACCACATAAATCAAAACATAAAACAAAACATTACAAATAAAGACATAACAAGCTCGACAAGGAGGGAGTCCGGAGAGATAGTGCTGGAGTGGCAACTGCGGTGAAGGCCGAAGCGATGTCGGGCGAAAGCAAACAGCATGTCAGCGCTCGTAGGCGGAAAACGTCTTTGAAGGGTGGAATCCGGAGGCAGCAAGGATGGCAGTCGAAGCCAAGGAACTGAGCAATAATGGCGACCAAAGCCGAGGAGCGGATACAGAGGAATAAAAATTTCAGTTTGGAAACACTAAAATACGGAAAATAAAATCCGATTTTAGGGCTTTTAAAATAAGGAAATAAAATCAATTTTCAGTTTTGATTTAAAATTAGAAAGAGAATAAAAATCATATTTCAGTTTTAGGAAAAGTTTTATAATTAGAAAGAGAATAAAAACTAGATTTCAATTTTAGGAAGGTTTTAGAATTAGGAAGGGCCTATGAAGGTAAGAAACAAAAGAAAGAAAAAGGAAAGGAAGAGAAGAAGAGAAAAAGGAAATGAAGGAAGAGGGAGGAGGGGGTCATAACCCCCCTCCCTAAGGGAGAACCTGTCGAGCCTCCCGCCTGAGCCCCACGTCATTCCTCGAGTTCATTATACATATATATATATAGATCATTCTATCTTTGTATCAATTTTCTCTTAGTATATAAGACTTTAATAAATTTGTTGATTATTATGAATTCAGTATAATGTTTTCTAATATAATGCTACGAAAACTATATTGGAAAAAAGTATAATTATTTATATGGTCATTAGATAAAAAGATTCGGCTAGGTGGTAGTAAGAAAAAATGATTAGAGTGTTCCATGAAACATTAAATAAATGGGGGTGGTGCAAAATGCAAGTCCCGGTCAAATTGAAAACAAAAAAAGTACAGCGAAGTTCATATTTTGAAACTTCTAAAGAAAAAGAATGCCTAAAACAATTGTAGCTAACACAAACGTTCTCCATTACTGTGCTTATCATTTAAAAAATACTATTGAATGTTTTACCAGATAAGAGACTTCAATATCACAGCGGAAACACATTCTGTATTCCAGCTCAAAAAAAGTATACACATATAACCTAGACTTATCATATAACCTAAAAAAAGTATACACATTACTGAAACATATAGGAGGCTTATCATATAACCTAGACGACAATAAAAAGATAAAAGTTCATATCTATTCTGCTATCAATATCTTTATTTTATCATGACTAAGTAAACAACAAAATCACTAAAAAATAAATTAAATGTGATTGATGTATATGCAATTAATAGTAATAAAAAAAAACCGTTCCTCTCAAAGCCGATTGCACTAAGTTAGCATATCAAGAAAATCTAATGATAGACCATAATCTCATACAAACAAAAGAAACTAGGCTTCCTTAGAGCATTAGAGAATAATCATCAAAAAATTTGTGCAGGCATTGGCTTATGAAGAACCAATAGTATAGTGTATATACATTATAGCTTATAAATAGCTCAAGTTCCTAATTCATGCTAAATTCATTAAAATGGGCTGCAACCCACGGGAAAAGGAAAAACAAGATAAATACCATTTCATATATCAACTGAACGGCATAAATTTTAACTGATTTAGAAACGTTCTATCTGATTCCAAGGGAACTGGTCTTAGTCAGCAAAATTGTAAAAGCATATAAAAAGAAAAATCTTCATAAATATCTTCTTAATTACCTGGTGAAAGTTTTTCGTGGCGTATATCAGATGTTAAAATCAGGATAGCACTTTCTTGATCAATATCCGCAATCTAAATCCAATAAAAACCGATTAAGTAGACATATGGATGATGCTAAAAATATATTTATAAAAATCCAATAAAAGAAATGAAGGTTAAAAAAAGGGGCATTTACATACATACCACCCAATTCCTATGCTTTTACATATCTAAAACACCTAAACTTTACTCTTTACATTTATACCATCCAAATATTTCATATCACATCAAAAATACCATCATTTTAACTTTTAAAAAGTGAAATGGACCTTTTGGTATATGCGAAAATCTTCCTATAAAAAATAAAAAACTAAAAAAAACTAACCCATCCAAGATGTTCAAGAACAAGAGCTTCATCAGATGACTCCTGCAGCAACTTTGATGCCTCAAAAGCAGCAGCAATTCTCCAACTCGAGAGCAAATCAGAAGAAGAATCTGAGGGGTTATCCAAATGAGCCGTGGGATTTTCCCAGAATGCTGTTGAATAGTTTTTCGCCATAACACACCATATAGTGAGAGCCTTAGAGTACATCCCTTTACTAGCATACAAAAATGCAAGAGTGCGTAAATGCCCGGAGCCATCTAGTAAGGTTTCTAAGTCCTCCTGCACGAAGATTCCACTGCTTGCCAACATATACATAGTGCATTCTCTTGAGACTTATACTCACTTAAAGTGTAATTGTGTGAATAACACGAGCCAATTATGTCTCAAGATACACTGAAACACATTATGTGAGAACAAAAAAAATGAAAAATACATACCACAACACAGCTGTTCTCTGATGAGGCGAGCTTCTCCATATCCAGCACACGATTAAGAGCACTGTAAAGGTAAATTAAAAGTGTGTCGACACCTTCTTTCACCGGAGAAAGCAATTCCTTCTCCCGGCAGATGACTAGATACCTGTCCATTAAAGGTTGATAAGGATCAAAGATTAAAGATTCTATATTCCAAAGGCTCATTTGGGATCAATTTTGTTTTTGTTTTTTTTTTCTTTTGTTTCAAAAAACAAGTTTGTTTAGCGTGTTTTTCACATGTTTCTGTTTCTTGTTTTCAAAAACAATTTATCATGTTTTTTAAAACATCCTAAATAACAATTAGGTGTTTTAATAACAGTCACATCTTAATCAAATTTGACGAACATGTTTTGCTTCAAATCAAAATATAAACAAAGCAAAATAAAAACAAAAGTAATCCCAAACAGCCCTTAAAAAAAATGCTTGTAGCTCCAATGATACAATCTCCTATATGATGAGTTAATCAAACAGTATCTTATCTCATTTGAACTTTATAAGAAGCAACCTGATAAAGTTTTCAGTTGCTGACTTCAATAAATCAGCTCTGCTTGGTGGATTCAAAATAAAATCCTCATCGCTATCGGTGACAATACCAGCTTTTCTGAGAAACATCGCTCGTTGAATGGCATGAAGCCCGTCATCAACAACTTGTTCGAGAGGCACAGGGGGAGGATGCAATCCCCAATAGCGCTTCCTTGGCGCCTGAAACATGAACAAAATATACAATATGTAAGGGGCTGTATGATAACAGACTTTTAGTAGAGTTTAACTTAAATCTTGGTAGAAATAAAAAAATGGCAATTTTAAATCCAGGAATTCATATCCAAATCCTACTCAATCTTTTTCTTAGTTTTGTCTTAAATCTGAGGTTTACTAAATCCTCCTGTTGGCAAGATTTAGGGGCTGTTTAGTAATGGCTTTACCTGCTTTGGTAAATCTTGCCAATCTGGATTTATTAAATCTGGACAATGACGGGATTTAGTATGCCCAAGATTTAAAGCAAAACTGAGAAGAAAAGTATGAAGAAACAGGGTTTATGGAATCTGGGATTTAAAAATGCCATTTATGTTGTCTGGCAAAATTTAAGTTAAATTCCAATTAAATTTGTTACCAGAAAGTACCTTGGTAAATCTAGATTTATATAATTTACTAAAGCTGCTAAAGTTGTTATCATAGAGCCCCTAAACATGCACTGTCATAAGGATTTGTAAAAACTATAACACGCACGCATACAAATAACCTGAAGACCTTTACAAACACAATTGAAGGTCACATATCGCAAAATAGAAATAAAGCAACTCATACATCTCTGTTCAGTCATTCAAATTGGCATCTAGTAGGAAGAAAGCATTCAAACAGCGGATAAGAAGCTTGGAAATTTTAACTAAGGCCTGACAAATACTATATAGCATCAACTTTCTAATTGAAACTGTCGATGAATATTATTTCCCATAAATCAGCTTTTGCTTAGCCATATAATAGATCCAACAAGAACAAATTAACTTCGGTTATATAAAAAAGGGGCATTTACATACTTTAGGTGTTAGATATGTAAATCCATAAGAATCGTGTGGTGTGTATGCAAGTTTCCCATTAAAAAATATAAAACTAAAAAAAAAAGGCAAGAACACCAGTCTCAATGTAATCACTAGGTATAAAACGCTACTCAACCCGCACATAATACTGAATCACAAATAAAATTTGGAAAGGAGCCTTGAAACAACTGGAAGACTGGTCAAGTACCAGTTGAGACCACCGGTTGGGCTCCCTCATTATGAATGAAAATATCTCAGACGGATCCATTGTTTCTGATTGCAGAAAGTGATTGACAGCTTCTTCAAAATGCAGCTCGAACAGTAATAGGAAGCCCACTTGGGCGTGCACAAAGCAAAGCATCTCCTTTGTCATTTCGCCTTCTGATTCAAACTCTTCCACAAGGTTGATGGCTCCCTTAAAATTCTTCTTCTTTAGCAAATCTTTAATCTGCTCTTCTGGAGACACTTTACGACAACAGAAGGCCTGAATGTAGGAAAATAAAACTTGTGTTCAGAGAGATGACACACAACATATATAAATGACTGAGTAATACAAGAATGAAATAATTCTCATAACAAAAACTACAATGTATGAAAGAAAACAAACATCAATTGACAGTACAAGACTTACCAACCTTATAAGTTGTTCCAACGATTACAATCTCTCCACTGCCCTGATTATCACAAGCAACAATACATGAGCCAACACTATTCTTTGTCAACTGTAACGACTGCACCAAAACACTAGTTTTCTTCCTATACAAATCCAATCTGCCATCTCTTGCAACAATTACATATGGATGCATCTCAGCAATGGATTCTGGAACGTACTGGAAAATCAAACTCCCACCAACCGGATGCCCCAGAGCATTGGAAACTACACCAACTTTATCGAACAACAAAAGCACATCGGAGCTTCGCACTAAAACTCTCGCCAAAGGCGAAGAGGATTCGGGAAGAGAAAATATTAACGATCCTTTACCATTAACATCAGAAAAGAGGATGTAACCTTCTGATGTTCCTACTACTATAGAATCACCAACCCACACCATGGTCTTCACTCCGTCAATTCCCTGAATCTCTTTCCAGAATATGGAAAGACCACTGTGTTCGGCATCCAAGTCAACATTGCTTGGCAAAAAAAGCTCGATCAATACCAACTTTTTACCTGCAGCAGCTGCCAAAAAGCAACTAGTTCCTGCTCCTCTCTGCAATTCGGAAACCCTAGACGCTGCCCCGTTTACCCGAATACCTCCACCAAATTTTTGAAGAAAAGTCTGCCCGGATCTCGAAAGCTCCGCTCTCACCGCACCATCGAAAAAAGGATCCGAAATCGATGAACCCGGCTGCAACAGCCTTTTCGAAATGGCTGAGACGTCCTTGGCAAAACCTAGCTTCCGCATAGACTGCAATAACAGCAAATCCACCAAGAACAAATATCCATCCGAGAGAACAACGACTCTTCTGACCTCAGGGAGAACATTGATCGACTCGATGACACGGTTGCTGATCGTCGCAGACCTAAGAAACTGCACCGGTGCGAACGGAGGAGCATTTGAATTATCGTCGGCGGAAGTAGATGGAACCGGCGGCAGCGAGGGGTTCAAGGATAGAAGAATTAGCTTACCGCCGCCCGTACCGACGTATATCAGAGTTTGAGAGTCGGAAGCAGCGAAGACTGCGAGAGAACGGATGGTGAGAGGAACGGCGGGGGAGAAGCCGGCGAGTTTCGCAGGATCGAAATCAGTAAACGCTTCAAGAACCACCCGATCCATCTGAGATCGGAGCGTTTCCATGGAAAGGGCTAAGGGACTGTTTGGTAGCTGGTTTTAAGCAGTATTCATGCAGATTTAAGCTAAATTCTGTCAAACTCAAAAAATGTCTCCCTAAATCCGGCTCAAATTATTCCTGAGTTATTTTCAGTTTATTTCTGGATTATTTTTAATAATTTTAAAATAATTTGTGATTATTTTTAGATTATTTCATGATTATTGAAAATAACCCAGAAATAACCTAAAAATAACTCAGTAATAACATGCGCCGCACGTAGAGCTATGTCAGGAGTCCGCACAGAAAAATTTTTGTTGAATCCCAAGCTACTGTGAATCTATGAATGACGTCTATTTGTGATAAATTCGAGATTTACGAAATCCTGCGAATCTAAAAGAGCCAAGAGGATGAATGGCAATAACAGTCTTACTTCCTCGATGGTTTCTGGTGGGAGCGGGGCAAAAATTTCCCACCAGAAAAACTTTCTCCTAACTTCAGATGGTACCTCTCTACCCCAGTAGTATTGTTGTACATCTTAAAAAATATTAAAGTGAAATAATAAAATATAAGATAATTCTAAATAACTCTGAAATAACACCGCAAATATTATTTCAGAATTAATTTGGTATTATTGAAGATAAACTCATATATTTAACTTCAATAACCTCAAAATAACTTATAAATAATCCTAAAAATAATCTCTATAGTTGTATTTCAATATCATTGAAGTGAAACCTTAAAGTTTATTTCTGGATTATTGAAGTGGAATAACATGTGGCAGTTGCGGCAAATAACCTAGCTTATTTGGGGGCAAATAACCTCTACGATGAACCACACGTTGAAACATGTTATTAGAGTTCGCACGCAGAGCCACGTCCGGAGTCCATACATAATTTTTTTTCCCACAAACAAGCTTACTTCCTCAATGGTTTATAGTAGGAGCGGAGAGGAAGGATGAGAAAGATAGGAGTTTCGGTGGTCTCTGTGAGTCGCGATCCCATTGTTTCCTTCACAGCCACCTCTAATGGAAAAATTTTTCTATCTGACCTCCGAACTTAGCTCTACGTGCGGACTTCCCCCACCATGTGTGTTATATGGGGCCCACCTAAAAAAATATTAAAGTCGAACCACAAACTTCGCAATTGCCCTGAAATAACCTCTGTGGTTTCGCTTCAATAACCCTGAAATAATTCCACAGAGATTATTTATTATTTTTGGGTTATTGAAAAAAAACTCATATATTTCACTTCAATAACCCAGAAATAACCCCGAATAACATCCGCAGAGTTACTTCGGGTTTATTGAAGTGGAACCGCGGTTAGGGCTGTCAATCTGGCTCGTTGTTTGCAAACAGCTCGTGTTCTGCTCATGTTTGACTCGTTCGTTAAGCTTAACGAGTTGAACATGAACAATTTTTTAAGCTCGAATTGTAAACGAGCCAAACACAAACATAAGTTTGTTCGCTCGTGTTCGGCTCGAATTGGCTCAAAAATAAATAATTAAATAAATATATACATAATAAATATTCATAAAATTAAATATTATAAATTTAAATTAATTTATTTTTAAAAAAATTGTCATATTTTATAAAATTTAATTCTTTAAATTATTATATCCAACAAAATATTAATAATAATATATTGCTAATACTTATATAATATTCTTTAAATCTTCCGTCTCAGGTATTATCGAATAATCATAGGCTTAAAGCCTTAAAGTATTATATATTTATATAATAATATAATATTAGTTTTATAATTAAAATATTATAACATATATAATTCCTCTCCGCTCTCTCGAACTTTCTTACTTTCGGCTGCCTCCCCCACTCACTCTTCTTGTTCTTCTTTCGAAAATTCATTCGACCGACCGCCGCAACAACTTAGGGTTTGTCGTGGGTTTGTCGTCTTCGTTCGTCTTCTAATATCGACTTGTATATCTCTTCGGATAGCTAGTGACTCAATGTTGGCTCAATTGCTCGGTATTCTTGCTTGGTCGCTCGTTTGGCTACCTAGGTGTTATCTCTGAGCATCTTCTCTCTAATATTTCATATTATCGTCTGGTTCGCCTCTTATCTTATATTTACTTAATTTTATTTTACATTTATTTGGATTTTTTAGGGAAACCTAGCTTTGTTTGGGTTTTTGGCAGTAAGATTTTTTTTGTTAGATTTTTAGTTATGTTTATGTCATATATATATATATATATATATATATATTCAATGGTTGAGAATATGAAATCTGATCTAAGTGTTTTGTTGTGAAATTCAATTCGACGTGCATTCTGTGGTGAATCATTAAGGGGTTCGCTTATTGCTTCTAGATCAGAATTTTTTTGGTGAAGAATATTATGCTTATTTCCTTTAGCTTTTCAAAACAATAACATATGTTTTCCTTTAGCTTTTCCTCCAATTGATATTCTTGTATTTTTGTCTATGATTTCCAGTTGATGCTACAAGCTATGTTTATAAAGCAAGATCGTATATGAATACTTGAGTTCAAGTTATGTAGATCAGCCTTGTTGTGAAATTTAGTTCGGCTTGCATTGTGTGGTGAATCATTATGTGGTTCAGCTATTGTTTCTAGATCATAATTGTTGGGACTGCTTTATAATGGTAGTCATATCATAATGGAGACATATCATAATGATTAATGAGAAGCATTACATATTCAGTGGGGGTTCGGCTATTGCATCTAGATCAGAATTTTTTTTGTGAAGAATATTATGCTTCTTTCCTTTAGCTTTTCAAAACAAAAACATTTGTTTTCCAAGTATTATGAAAGATGAATACTTGAGTATATAAGCAAGAAATGAATGCTAAATTCTTGCTTATCAATTTTATAAATACTTGAGTTCAAGTTATGTTTATAGTTCAACATTGTATATGAATACTTATGTTCAAGTTATGTAGATCAGCCTTGAGTTAAAGTTTTGTAAATACTTGAGCAAGTTATGTATATAAATACTTAAGTTCAATTTTATGAATACTTGAGTTCAAGTTATCTAATCTCCACTTCTCCTTCTCGGCATTGTTGGCTTCTGTTGAAATTAGGGCTTTTGGATTAAGTGAGGTCAACACATTTAGATTTATGTGTATGCATTACTTCTTCTTCTCGACACTGTTACTGTCTTTATCATATGAATTATATTATGCTACTGTTGTAGGCTTTAGTGATTTAGTATGCTAATCTTGGGTATGCATGAGAAATGAGCTGCCATTCTTTGACTATAAATGGTATGCACGAGGAATGAGCTCCTGACAGCGACTTTTTATATGCTTAAAATACAAGATAAATATGGACGTAATAATATTCAATAATTGTAAAGCCACACTTATCAACGCAAATATATGTATCGCTCAAGTAATATAGAGCTCTAATGTAGTCATAGATATCGATCCCACGGGGAGTGGTTAGAACTGCGGACTAAGATTTTAGAAAAGCAATACTTTAATCACAACAACGAATTTCAATTTGCTTATCTATCACTAATAGGCAATTGAAATAAATAGATAATTTTAATAACTATTAAATAACTAATGATACTAATGAGGGTTTAATTGTGATATTCAATATATAAAAAAACATCATTCTCCTTATCAAGAAATTATAGTGAATGGATAGAGTGAATTAGTTCAATTTAGATTGTGTCAAATAGGAGCATGCCTATTCTTTACCCTTTGGTCTAGGCATAAAGAACATTGATTAATCCTATGTTTGTTTACTGAATCTACGGCTAGGCTGGGAGGATACCGGCTCTCACTTCGGAGCTCCCACGTTCCCCTCACTGAGGGCTAACATCTACACTTCAGAACCCAAACGATAGGACCGAATTGGGGATTTTA